TACTGGAGACAGCAACTGGGAGATTCATTAGCCATTTTTGCATCTAATATGTTTTGCGTTTGTGAGGCATGAGATTTTTCCCAAGTACTGTACCAGGCTAGCTGAGTTGACCGTGATGGCCTGCAGCGTATGTAGGAACACCATGCCACAGGTGGAATATATTAATTATTCACCCTACATGCTGGTACTTGCTCAACTGAATTCCCAGCCTGTGGGCATCCCACCCCTATCCTTTATCTGCGTCCCCATATGAAAACCACCTACCTGACATACCAGTTTAATAATAATTTTCGCTGGGAGTACCTATTTCCACCAGCATCTTAAGGGTTAAGGCCATTAGCACCCAAAGTACTGTAAGCTCTACCTCCTCTCCTTTTCCTCTTTTCTTCTTCTTCTCATTATTATTATTATTATTATTATTATTATTATTATTATTATTATTTCATCGAGAATAATATTGAAAAATGATATTCCTCGTTTATAGGTCGACCCGTATACTACGTCCTATAAACTTGTTTACCATTTATTATTATGACACTTTACACTGAAACGCGGGTAGTTTCAACCCCCTTCGTATATAGGTTGACCCCGATTTTTTGACCAAGAAATCGTTAGTTTATGATATTCCTCGTTTATAGGTCGACCCAAGTTTTTGAGGGTAAAGGAACAACAAAACCTTTAGAAAAACACTACGTCCTATAAACTTGTTTACCATTTATTATTATGACACTTTACACTGAAACGCGGGTAGTTTCAACAAAAATATTGTATATTTCCATTCAAGTATTTATTCAAGTCAATTAGGAGGGAATATTATTGTAATACAATAGTTTTTTTTACTGAAAACCATTCGAAAAGCGATTACGGTAAAATCTTTTGAACGACGAAAGAAAGTGAAAGTCATTGTTTTCGTCACAATTTTATCCCACTTTCCACTGTAATACGTACGTCATTTCAGCAAAAAATATTACATTTCCGTAAATGTATTATATCAACCACAGTATGAATAGAATATCACTAATATAACAGTATTTTAACCGAAAACTATTAAAAAAACGAGTAACATATCTTGAACATCGGAAGGTTTGGTAAATCTTTTGTTTTCGTCATGTAGTTTATCCTAATTTACATTGAAATACATCACGTTTCAACAAAACTACTATTTATTTCTGAGAATATGGAAATGTAATATTTTTGCTGAAATGACGTACGTATTATAGTGGAAAGTGGGATAAAATCGTGACAAAAACAATGACTTTCGCTTTCTTTCGTTTAAAAGATGTTACCGTAATCGCTTTTCGAATGGTTTTCAGTTAAAAACTGTTGTATTACAATAATATTCTATCCTAATTCACTTGTGATTAACAGTTTTTTAACTGAAAACGATTCGAAAAACACGTGTACCGTCTAGCTGATACGGCAGAGCCCTGGTCGCGAGGCTTTGTGTTTGCATCGGCCCTTCTTAAGCAGCTTTTAATTTTAGCGTACGTTTTAATTGTGTTTACCGGTATATTCTTATTTTCTTGCTTCTTATTTTCCAGAAATATGACAAGTTTGTATATAATACAATGTTATGGTACTTTTAATTTACAAGTATTCATTTTTAAAAATACAGAAGACACCAAACAAATAACAGTACTACGGTTATTTGCGTGACTCTCCCGCCAAAAAAGACCAAACAGCTGGTACTCTCTCCCTCAGCCCTACCAAAAATAGCCCAACAAAATCTTTCTTGTTTATTCTCTTCCAATTTCTCACTTTAACTGGTATTTTTTACTTCATATTGCCTACATCAGATAAACTACAGTAATTGAGGTTAGACACTGTTATAAATTTGATTACCGGGTACTGGCAGGTGCCGTTAGAACCACCTGACCCTACCAACAGTGTTGCAAGTCAGACAGCATTTTTTTAATCATCCATGTGCACGAGAAAGGATGGATGGACGAAGGCGGCATACAAATATGGCTTAAAAAAGTCTGGAACTTTACACCAGGGGGACTGCGCAAAGCAAAAAGTCTTCTTGTGTGGGATATGTTTCGGTCACATCTTGTTGACAGTGTTACTGCTGGGATTAGGAAGGAAAACACTGATACAGCTGTGATTCCTGGTGGATTAACAAGTCTTGTCCAACCACTGGATGTTTCCATAAACAAACCATTTAAAGATGCAGTAAGAGTGAAGTGGAACAACTGGATGATAGAAGGCGATAAGACATACACAAAGGGAGGCAACATCCAAGCTCCATTACTAGCAACATTATGTGAATGGATTGTAGAGGCCTGGGATGCAATCAGACCAGAAATTATGGTGAAATCTTTTAAGAAATGTGGGATTTCGAATGGTCTTGATGGAACAGAAGACGACTTGTTGTGGGATTATGAGGCTAATGAGAGCGTGATTGAGGATGAAGATACTGATGATCCTATGGCTGATGATGGTGTTGATCCATATGACGATGCTGTTCAAGGAGAGGACTGGGAGGAGCTGTTTGGTGCTGCAGATGATGACAAGGAAAATGATTTTGATGGATTTTAATGAAAATATTCAGAAATATGGTATTGTAGTATTTATTCAAGTCAATTAGGATAGAATATTATTGTAATACAACAGTTTTTTTAACTGAAAACCATTCGTCACAATTTTATCCCACTTTCCACTGTAATACGTACGTCATTTCAGCAAAAATATTACATTTCCATATTTATATCTGAGAATATATTCATTCAGGCACAGTTAAGGTAAAATATATTTGTGATGTAAAATTTTAATAAAAGTATTTATAAATAAGGTATCGTATTTTTCTTTTGTTTCAAATTTAATTAACAAAGATTGATGTTTCAAATTTAATTAACAAAAATTTATGTATCTATAAATAAACTTTTAAAAATGAATACTTAATGTTTTACATGGTCCTGTGCTACCATACCATGCATTTGGCCACTTTGGGCTTGCTATGATGACAAGAGATCTGTCCTGGCAACTGTACCGACACTCACAGCTGGTGGTGCGTCGTTTCCATTGTTTACTGGTAGTTACTGGTACATATTTTTCAACCTAACGAAACTATTACTCGTATAGAGGTCGACCCCCAACTTTTTGCCAAAAAATTTGGTCTTAAGAACTCGTGCTATACACGGGTATATACGGTAGACCCAGTCAGTATCTGATTACAGTGGTCCCTCGGTTAACGAGCACAATCCGTTCCAGCAGGTTGCTCGTTAACCGAAACCATTGTTTCAATGGGTTTTTGGGTAATTGGTTCCAGCTCACCGAAAATTGCCTAAATTCAACAAAAAAGGTAGAAAAGTACACTTACTTTGAGGTGTGTATGTACAAGGCTCCTGGATGATGATGATGATGATGATGGGAATTAGAATGGGGATGGAGGAGAAGGGAGAAGAGAAGGCATTGGGGTGGAAGAGAAGTCACCCCTTGGCACCATTTCACCCATAAAATTTTAGTTCTCTTGGTGTGATTCAAGATTATTTTCTTTAAATCAACACTGCACTGCATTATATATTGTCAATATGTAAAATAAATTTCAAAATGACCAATAATTTGCTTGGAAACACAGAAAAAATGCATTTAGTTGAAGAGAGTCTCAAGCAAGATGTTACCTCCACTGAAAACAGAGAGAGACTAGCGCCTGTCTGGTGTGTTAACAGGCTGGATGGCACGCCAGAAACTAGTTTCTTTACCTTCACTTATGTTCAATAATTGATAAAATGACTAAAAAAGTTAATATTAAACTTTTAAAATTATTGAATAGTATAAATTTCTTGATATTTACTAAAATTGTAAGGAATTTAAGCCCTAAAACCGATTACTGTATTGGCGGACTAATACTACAGCTGGTGGACCGCCAAATGCAAGCGAAAACTTGTTGAAGTCGGCTCGTAAGAAACTCGTTAATCGAGGGATTGCTCGTTAACCGAAGTTAAGAATCTTATGGAAGGTAAGTCGTTAACCGAAATCTCATTAACCGAGGGATCACTGTACCTGGTTAGTGGTTTCCTTTCTTCTTTCTTTTCTTATATTTGCTTTTGAAGGAATTATTTACTTAATTTTCCAAAGAACAATTGAATCATTTTCATGTGCAATAGGTAAGGAATCTTGGAGTTGGTGTAAAAAAGAGGGTGCATTGAACAAAGGAAAAGAGACATACTGTACTGTATATATATGGAGATTTAAGCCTCTCTCTTCCTTTGCATTGGGTTGCATTCCAAGAAATTTAGAAAGGTCATTCAAAGAATATCTATGTACAGCAAACTCATTTTTACATAATAAAAGAGAGGCATCATTCCAAACTCTTCAGACATAATATTCACATTCATATCTCACAGATCATGCAGTTGTGGACAAAATGAATTTGGCAGGCAGGGAGGTGGTGTATGGGAGGGTTGGAGTAGGTCGAGATTTGGCAATGTCTCATAGAGGTGGTGATTTTCTTTCCACGCCACAAATAAATTTTTCGGTCTAATTGCGAGGCAGGAGGAGCTTACACTCCTTGCCGAATTCTTTTTTCCATAACTTAACATACACGTCTTGTATATTTTATAAATTACATCGCTACATAAAAATATGGTTATGAGTACTGCAGTCACCAATATAGAATGACAGTGGATTGTATGAACAATTGAGTGTTGGTGGCCAAGCATTGCTGCCCACTATTTACTCTCAAGTCATTAAATTTCATTATTTTTAACATATTCCAGCATAAATAGCTTCCTAGTTTTCCTGCTTGTGGTATGTTGCTGAGTAATGGCAGGGTATTAGGGTGGTTTCTTTTGAGTAAGTAGAATTTACATAAAACCTTCCATGAAGGATCCTGAGAGAGCAGCTGTTTGCTGTTAACACCATATGATTTCATGTGTATCGTTAGTTATTAATTTAATTTTGTAATCATAAAGTGTAGGTACTGGATACAAATGTGAGCAAGAAACACGAAAGTGTTTCTTCACCAGCATCATTTGAATTCAAATGACTTTTTTTTTCAGATGGTCAGGTGCAGGATCAATGGATTCTTATCCTAACACACCACAACCAATGTACCCAATACACGATACTGGAATGGGTGACCCTCCGTCCGTCAGCTCTAACCCCTCCGACTGCGTGTCCACGTGAGTAAACAGTTTGAAGTATTTTATAAATGATTTAGGTATTTAGAGACATGTTCTGTCGGGAATTATTTTATTGTTCTTTTGTGAAAGGAAATGCAACAACCTGTTTCAAAGTTAATGAAGCCAAAATACACAGGTAATGTATCAATGAAATATACTGCTGAAATGGCAATATGCAAATTGAAGTGTGTAATCCCTAGTTTATACTGTAAGAAAGTTAATCATGAGAGCAATAAAGTACTGTATTTTTAAATGCTTTGGACATAAACGAGATTTGCAGTTGATTGGGTGTGTGATGTCTGGTAAGAATGAGGCAGAGTAGGATAATGCTAAAGATTGTTGAACATACTTTTCTCTTCCTTTATTAACCATTTATCTGACTGGTCATGTTTCATCTAGGTCAGCCGGATATTATTTGGGTTATGATTTGACATCGTGTTGACAGTTTTATTAATGTCAAAGATAATGTACAACGGCAAAAGATGAAACAAGAACACTCCAGAAGGTACAGTATTGTGGTGTGCCTGATAAAAAGAACACTAATTCTGATGAAAAATTCCACCACTGAATGAGTATTTTCCTGTCAATTGAAAAAGTACAAAGTACAGTATACATAAACTATTTTTAAGTATTATTAAAGGTGCTGGTGATGATTGAAGGTTGAATTTTAGAAGGTTTCATGTATTTTATCCATCCCATACAGGCATGAAGTGAGGTTTGTTATTTTATAAAGGTAAGGGTGTTTGGAAGCTGAGGAGTTAGATAGTATCACTGACTGTATGCCCAAAGTATCTTATATTTTATCTTAATTTTATCATGTCATCCATCTTTCATTTTGCATTTCCAACACCCTTTCTTGCACATCCATCCCATCCTTCAAGCCCAGCTGGCATCTTTTACCACTTGGCACCACAAATTCATAACTGGTCCAGTTTACCACTCTTGAATACTGGTATCCCTTGCTTTCTGAATGGGTTAGGTTCCTTAAAAAACATTCATTAGGTGAATTTTCGTGTCTTGATTAACATAATATATGGGAAGAATAGTGCTTGGTTCCCTAATGACAAGAAAACCCCAATATAATACAGTACCTATGAGATTCAATCCCCACACACACACACACACACACACACACACACACACACACACACACACACAAAATTACCTTAAGCCCCGGGTTAGGGTGCTGCTGGCATTTACCCTCCTCCTTGTGGGGATAAATCGAGAAAAAATTCAAATTTTCCAAAAATAATTTAAAAAAAATGGTGGGAAAATAAGCGGATGTTCTGGAACGTCACCCAGGGCCTAAGGGTTAAACCTTTAAGGTCTAATAAACCCAAGAAATTCCCCCCACTCCACCCAGAAACAGATTAAAAGGGGAAAAAATGGAAATCATAAAATGAACATTCTAGCCTTATGAAATGTGAGAAATATATGTTAGTGAATAGGAAAATACATAATTATCACTCTACTTACCACCTATGGTTGTTGCCGAGTTGGAGAAGTCGTGGAGTCATGCCCTTCATCACCTCCCTGGGAATTATCATGCATCTGGGTGCAAACTGACCATGAGATAAGGAAAGGTCCAATATGGTAGGATTCCACATGAGACATAATCAACTCACTCTATGTTTTCACAATTGAACAACACTATATGCAGTACATTCATCACTCGTTTATGGGTTACAAGTGTGTGAGTGTGGTACTGAGGGAAATATTGCCTAGTGGATGTGGGAATGAGTTTTTGGCAGGGAAATAAAAAATTTGCTGCACTACCGTGATGCCAATAGACCTCTACTACTCCAGGCGTCCTGGGACACCATTAAACCTTAAAATATTACGCAACCATATTCGTATAAGCGAGAATAACTTAGAGGTGTAAGAATAGAAAATTCATACACTGTAAGCGAATTATTTTAGCTCAAATGTTCATATAGAGAGGGATACCTGTATACCATCTTCTTACTCTTGTTGTCCAGATAAATATTTCTCTTCCAGCAGTACCCATAACACATTCTTAAAGAAGCCTTTATTCTGATCAGAGTATTGTTTGATATTTAGAAGTAACCCAAATGATGTGTGTGAAAGTGCTATGTGTTGTGAATAGTATGCTGAGAATAAGAAAAGAAACTGTAAAATGTGGAAATAAAAGAGGTGGTAGAGAACAGGTCAGGTCATAGTGAGAGAAAGGGAAGTGAAAGCATGTTCAAAAGAGTACTCTCAAGAGGTGGATGGTAGGAGGGAGAGGGGAAAATCAAGGAGATGAAAGACTGGAATGAAGGATAAACATGAATTGAGTGGGATGAACAGCGTGGAAAGAGTGATGTGTATGAATGACTAGAAACCCTGGGGTATAATGATATTTTGGGGATGGACGGTGCTGCTGATAGGCAGTGCTAATTGGTGTGAACTATAAAGGTAAACCGGATAGATATGTATTGCTTTGTTGTAGATGGAAATACCAGAGCAGAACACATCTGTTAAAACATTATGAATCAATATATAACAGCGAATAAAAAATAATAATTATTTCCTCCTGATTCTGGCCATCCCACATTATTATGGGAAACAGCCTGAAAACATAAGATTTGGTCTGTTAACCTTAATGACAATCAACATTTTATTTTACTTGTCCCTTGATCACTACATCAGTTACCTCTGGCTTATCACACTCATTTTGTCTCATGGGTGCCAACATATCCTTTAACTTCTCCATATTACTCGCTCCATATACGTATCTTGATTTATTACTCTTTGTCACTCACTTAGCATACCATATCCATTTCATCTAGTGTCTAACCTTTATCCTCATTACTCATATTCATGCATCCATGGTTTGTAGAGCATTACTTGTGATTTTATTTATTTATTATTTTTTTTTAAGTATTGAGCTACAGGAATTTAGTAATACCATATTGTGTATGTTAGTTTCACTTAAAATTTTAATTGCTTTTCAATGTTTAGTATTTCTTTTCAAAATATCTATTCTTGTCACATTATTGAAGCATTGAGATTGACTTGAGTGTGATGAAACACAATAGGAGTACTGTATTCTACCTACTATGTAAGATCTCAGTTGTGGTTGCATTATAATGGTCAGTGGCTATAATTATGACCGCCTGGAGTGTCCAGTATATTAAAAATGTCATATTTTATTTTACAGTTTGATTGGTTGTGTTGAGATATAAAACTGTCCATTTTTAGTACTGTACATACTTATTTTGTGGCTATAGCTTACTATAAAGATCAGTCCAAGTTTTATCTAAATATACGTTTTTACCCTTATGTTTCGAGTACCCCTTTATTAAAGTAAAATTTTAGAAACATTTGGAAAAAAAAGCTGAAATGAAAAAAAAAAAAAACAGAAGCAGCATGCCTGTGCATGACTGGAAAACATGGTGTTGAGCAGTTTGCAAATATGGATGTGCAGCTTGTGTGAAGCACTGGAGTGATGTCTAAAGTGACAGGGCTACACTAGATAGATGTTTCGGTGCTGTGTTGTGCATGGGAGACACTGTAGCAAGATTGAACAAATTATGCCAAAAGTGGGGGGACACTCTTTGTTGCTCTTGATTTTGGCCACCCAGTACTAGAGTGGGAAGAGGCTTGCTGATTGAAAAAAAGAATAGAAAAATTAAGTGATTTATTAGTAGATATGGGAGGGAGCATTATAAGTGTACAGCAGTAGTTGTTGTCACTCATAATAAAACTAGGCCTGGAAATTGTAGTAAGATATATGTACTGTGCACACAAAGTTAAATGATTTTCCAAAGAAGCAAAACAGCAATGAGAATTTGAATGTACAGATGAACTTACTGGAGGAAATCACAGTGTCATAATCATGTCTCTTATCATACTATGTCTTGAACATGTCAACTATATGAAATTATAGATAAGGGATATTTGAGGTGAGATTGAATGGTGATGAGAGGTAGACTATGTGTAAGGTGGATAGATGAATTATTTTGGAGTAGGAGGAAGATATTGAATGTTACTAAGCGCAGAGTACAGCATGCCCTTCAAATTTGCGGAATTTTAAGTCGCGGACCTCAATTACCGGTATTCGCGGATGACACCGTGGATGTACCCAAGAATGTTTAAGGGTAGTTTTAAAGTTGCTAGCATTTTTTGCGGTCGGGACATGGAGCCATTCGTTCTAGAGACAGTAATTTCTTTTACCTGTATTGTATATATATATATATGTGTGTGTGTGTAGACTTAAGGGTAGACTCACACATTTTTAATGCATTTGCTGATTGTATATACAATACTCTACAGGTAAAAAAATAATTGTCCTAAGGGCAAACACACAAAGGCAATATACATTTCTTGGCACACGAGTAAAAATGTAACAACCCCACCCCGATCATCAAATGTTATTCGTGGATATGGCTATTCGCAGCCATTTGGAGAACCTAACCCCCGCGAATTTGAAGGGCATGCTGTACAGTGTGAGTAGTATGGAGAATATATGGGCACTCATTGTAGTATTGATTTTGTTGGGCAGGAGCCAAAAATGGTAGAAGATTTCAGATGTTTGGGTGTGTTTTTATCAAGCTTTAAATACCGATACTTCTCAATTTGTGCAATAAGTATATTCTTAAATGTGGTCGTGTAAATATAAAATGCATAAATCAAACAATGTAATTAGTGGAGATTAGAGGGTTTCGTTATTAAGAAGACAGTACTGATATTATATTAGTGAAAAACTACAGTAGTATACATGTACCAGGAAATATAAAATACTCCATACCTTTGCTCATATCACAAACATGCTGAGGGGAACATATTCGTGAGATTGGTGTTCGATCCATGTGCTCAGCATTTGTTCCATTCTCTCCATAATCAAACGTCAGAAATACAAGATCTTCGATGCACTGATTAATGTTTCGCTCTTAGCACTCTCCTTGATCTTCTCTGTAGTATCATAATAGTCTGTAAAGTAGATTCACTAAGTCCAAGGACATACTTAATATCAGCTGTTCATTCACCTCTCTCAT